TGTCACCAACTATACAGTAAGGTGCACACGAAATGGGCTTTAAACAGTAAACAGTAGAAAGGTATCATGGCACACTCACAAGTCAGCATGTAAAAAACGTGTCTCACCACTAAGGTTAATAACAGAGGTTTGGATACACGTCTTCTGCAGAAAATGTGAAAGCCGCACAGCCGCGCCAAGGCACCTCTTGTTCCTGGCTTACCTGGTGCAAGCGTGCAGACAGTAAAGCCTGTGCCTGTTTGTACCACATATGAAAAAAACCCAGAATAAAGTTGCCAGTCCTGGATTTTGGTTTTTAAAAACTAGTCAGCAATGGAAGCCCCCCAAATGTCTATCTTCATCCCTTCAGGCTTCGTTTACATTCTGTGTTTCGGGATTCCAGTGGCAGGAATCCCAAATGTCGCGTTTAACTGTGGCTGCTGCAGCTTACAGATGCATCCGATGGCACAGCAGCTGCAGCTAAATGGGACCATTGGGAATTCCTGCAGCAGGAATCCTGTAGGTTCATGCAGCAGCAATCCCAGAACACATGATGAGAATGAAGACTTAAAGTGCTAAAAACATAGAAAGGATTGCAATGCTCATCTGATTTGCATATATAATGATGTCCTTTGTGCTGGAATCTCAGATATTGAAACAATTGGTGACAAAGACACTTTCCTGAAGAAAAGGCTATATGGAATAAAGGAAGAAAAGACTGATCATTTTATGAGAATATATCACCTTTGTGCACTAATGTAAGGGCTGAGGGCTGCAGCAAAGATCCATTTACCAGCACCTTTATTCAGGGGCAAATTTCTTTACACCTCATACTATATGCCACCAATAACTGCCTACTGAAGGAAGGAGGAACAGACAAAAGCTTACCTGTGACTTTATGAAATTTTTTGGTGTGTACCCTTGCATACCTGTAGAAATGTAGTGCTTCACAACAAAGAAAAATTATATATATATAGCATATGTATTAAAAGTTGGCATACTACACATAAACACTTGTCAAAACCACCTTTACCTACAAACTATTATATCTGGAGCCAAGTACAAGTATTCAGCAGGACACAGTAACAGGTGCCCATGAGTATGGCCTCAATATTATCAGCCACTTCTAAACACTTTCTATAGCTATTCCACAAACAGTGTACATCAGTCTCTGACCCTCCTATCTGGATGCTGTAGTAGAATGTCTATGAGGAGCTGCTGAAGCTAACACTCAACAGTCTGCAGAGGTCAACATGTGACAGGATTTTAACCACATCTGTTGCATTCTGCTTTGCCTCTGGCATTCAGGAATATAGCCAATAGAATTAAAAGATTATGTTATTTTAATAGGGTGAAAATAAAGCTAGGTACTTTCATAAATTTAGGAAAATATATAATTCCTCTATTGCTATAAGCTATAGGCCATTAATGCCTCTGATCCTGCACCAAAAAAACAAGTCAACAGTGGCAGCTCTCATATTTGTCTTGCGTGGTTCCTCACCAAGCCATTTGTCTAAGGTCTCATGGCCTATTGCATATTAGGGTATTTGATGTGACTATGCACATATATCATCCAAGCAATGCCACAGCAGCAAGAAGACACAGTGAAACCCAAGGCCATATTTCAGACATCACACTGTTCCATCTTGTGTCAAGTGATTGCTTAAGTAAAAACTAATCCTTGAATGTGCTTTTGGTACTTTTTCATAGTAAATATATCTTTTAGTGAACCACACTCCAATCTACTCTTGTATTAAATGCCTTGTGCATGAAAACGACAGCCTAATGGCATAAATTAGGCATTACAATTCTGCAGCATTTCCAAAGTCTTCTGCGCAAAGGACCTGTAAATCCAATGATTCAGTCCGTATAGCTCTTCAAAAAAGTGCAGACAGACAGTAGCAGGTTAAAGCCTAAGGCTCTTTTTCAAGCATGGATGAAAAGCTGATGATTTAATAAAGAGCAGTATGGATTGGATTATTGGATCTACAAGTCCTTTGAAGAGACAACTTTGGAAATACTGCAGAACAGTTACTTTTCAATTGTATAATTCAAAACAAGAGAAATGAGAGACTGTTTTGTGTTTTCTCCTATTTCAAAATTCCCTGCACATTCTTCTACTACCACAAATGTCCGGAGGTGACTAGAAAAAGGAAGCAAAATAAGGAAAAATCATCACAATTATGGTAACTTTAAGGCTTGTTGTTTTCTCTCTACCTCCCTCACCTTTTTGCCCTTAGCACTGGCCAACAAGTGTCATTTTATTTACCACAGCCCTGGCACACCACAGTGTGGCTATAAGCTGATCAGGACTCCAACGCAGAGCATCAGATCATGTAGGTGAGTACAGCTTAGTGTACTCTTAAGCATATATTGTGTTGAGAAGTGTCCTGTATCTATTATAGACTGCATCATCCATTCAAGTTAATGCAGGCGGATTGATAGAAGTGTCACATAGAGCTGCAGCACAAACAGGGATAATAGCAACAGGACAGGGTTCATTTCTGAGCAACAATGACTTCTTCTAAGTGCCATTAGCACTTGTTATTGCACACCTACATACAACAAACAAAAGCACATGGTTGAAAGATATAGGGGTTCATTTATTAAAGGCAACCAGGCTGTTCACTTTGCAAGGAAATATGCACTTTGCAAGGAGGTTTAGTGAATGAGATGAAATTTCATTTTGCAAAGAATACCCAATCATGTGCAAGGGGATTTTTAAAAAAAAAAACATTTTTTTGCTTGCACATTATTATTATACAGGATTTATATAGCACCAACAGTTTGTGCAGCACTTTACAGTATAAGGAAGACATTACAATCACAATACAATTTAAGCAGGGTGGTAAGGAGGGCCCTGCCCGTGAGGGGCATCATTCACTAAGCTAAGGGGAAACCTCCCCTGCAAAGTGCAAATTCCCTTGCAAAGTGAACAGTCTGTTTGCCTTTAGTGAATCAACTCCCATGGTGTCTATAAACACTTAATTCAATGAAAAGGACCCCATGGCTGAGTCACTGACAGTTGCTGTGTTTCCTGAAGACAGACAGATATCTCACTGTTCGTGACTCTTGGTGAAATATCTGCCCATCTATAATCTGTAATGGAGTATTAACATTCTGTAATGCATTATGATCTCTTTTTTGCTGTAGTAAAATAGGTGTACTGGGGCTTCATGTTGGTAAATCATCCAAAATCAAGAAGCATTTTTATGTATTTAGCCTTTTCCTAGAGAATTACATTTTGTAATGCTAAAAGCATAGTAAAATTAAATATGGCTTCCACTTAGCCACAAATCCATAAGTTAGCATTCTGAGTGCCATTGTTCTCAGATAACACATCAAGGACTCTGCATAGGCTTTATAAATAAATGTAGCCGTTGTTCCAGCCTCAAGATTGCCTTCCTTGATGCTTAAGTAGGAAAACGCTGTATGGTCCCTGTCAGTTATGTCTATAGAAATCACTGAAGTGGTATAATTTGGGTGTCTTGCTGGAGAGGCTTGTAATTAAATGTCAGATGTCAGACAGGGCTGCTTCCCTGAAAAGGGATTTCTCATTTTCTCTCATTCACATCAGGACACTCGTACATTTTTTTCAAGCCTGACCTCTTAGGCAAAGTTCTTTGCAAATCGGAACCCAATTTGCATTAGAATTCAGGGGTAATGAAGTGCAAATCCAAAAGCATAAGTGAATAGATTTTGCATTAAAACATGAGTAAACCACAGCTTCGGATATCAATTAGGAACCATTTTCTTATGATGATCTCACAGGCTTGATCACTTCTTCCCAATTACTAGTAAAAGTCAGAGACACAAAAACATCACTTCGAAAGCAGATACTGTATTGCACAAAGAAATCCAATGAACCGATGACAACTGTTTGGCAGACACAATAATGTTCACGTACACAAAGCACACACATGCTGAAGATCAGTTTTATTAGAGAGAAGTCTGGAACCCCTAATACTGTGGTTTTTGCTATCCTGGTAGGAAAAAAAAAAACAAACAAAAAAAACAGGCTTCACAAGCAAAACGGTTAAAAAATAACAATACCCTGGTTTTTATAAACTTTAACCTACACCGTTCGAGTAACTCTTACCCGCTAAATAACAGTCACACTGTACAAACGCAAAACATGGTCAACGGTGCCTTTTAAGGCCTCTGACTGTAAAAAGGTGCACAACAACTCTTTCTTTGTACCAAAAATGGGGGGGGGTCAAAAATATAATTATATATTAAAACTGCTATTTTCTTTATTTACATACCCTATTCATAAATAATTAAACCAAAACTCGCTAGAGTGCCAAGACAATTTATGGTAACGGATGTAGGAAGTGAGAAACTGATATATTATTGCTCTAACAGACACGTATTACTAGATATATTGTCAGAGCAGGCCCGGGCCCCCTCCATGCAGGCTCTATGCGGCTTCTCACAGGTACCACAAAAAAAAATATGCTTGGATTGCATCCCGAAGCTTGGTGTTTAAGAGTGATGGCACTGAGGCCATCTATACTCCACACACAGCAATCAAGACAGAAATCTCCACAGGACATAACCCGGACTTGCTGAAAGCTTCCTTTAATCAAGAAAGATGCACTGCTTGCTTGAAGGAGAAATGAACAGTCTTAAAACCATAGTAAGATCACGTTTCCTTACAGCCCTTGGTTTACTAGAGCTAAGCTCTCTTTACTAGAGCTAAGCTCTCTTAAAACTGTATGTCCCTCTTCTACACAAATTGTTAACACTGCTAAACTTCAGTTTCTCTGGAAAGACCAAAACTTTTCCAGACAGCCACAACACTTCGTTATATAAGGCTGTCAGCCAATGATGACATTTTGTTCATCGATGACCCCAGGCATTGCTGCCACAAAGGAAAAAGAGTGAGAACATACAAAAACATGAAACTTTCCTCCAAATGCCAATTATGTAGCAAACAATGTAGCTCCGAACATGGATTTTATACAACATAACTATGTTCTATGCACTGAATCAAGTAAACACTGAAGGCCTACATTGTCCATTTGAAATTTCTCCCAAATAAGCATTGCATTTTCAAGAACTCTTCTAAGAGCACAAAACCCTCCAAATAATGTTACATTTTACCAAAGGCTCTTTTGAAACCAAAAGTAGTGTCCTTTTGAAAGCCGTAGTGCAACATCGTACATATTGTGAGTGCCTGTAATTGACGTTTCACAATGCCAGTGCTTGAATGGTCCCCCTGCAGTACCCTGCTGATTCATAGTGCAGCTGTGCTGTACAGGCAACAATGCTTCTTCACAGTCCCCTGTCCATAGGAAGGGGGGTAGCTTAGTCTCTGGGGATCCTAAAGGGTCCGCACTGCTACAGGGTAAAGGAGTGATAAATGTTCGGCTCCTTTTATTGGAAGTTTCCGGGTGGTGTAGAAATGGATGACTTCTGGAACACTGTCAAAAGGAGGACTGTTCTGACCCAATACGTATTTTTCTTTGGTTTTCGACAGTTTCATGTGCATGAATCCTTGGCTGCTCCTGTGAAAATAAAAATACACATATAAGAAAAAAAATTCTATGTTGTCACCCAATATGTAAGGCTCAAATATAGTCCATATACTGTATGTAGAAAGAAGGAAAGATGTATGCACCGTCAACAGCAGTCAACCGAGTTCCAACTGTCATTTTACTACAGCAGTTTTAAAGCGGAAAGGAGAAAAGAAAATGTGAGTGCTTATGATGGACATTTCCTTTGTTCCTTTTTCTCAGTGCAGATGGGTCCTATACCACTTGTGGCTCCAAGTGGAAAAATAAACGAAAATTACATTGATATGGTTACCCATAGAAACCAATTTAGATTCTAGTTGTGCTTGTACTGCAGGTTAGAACATCAGTTACATCACTGTACACCCCTTGGCCTCAGCAACAGTAAAAAATTAAGACCCCATATTTCAGACGTGTAGAAAACACAGCTTTTTACTGGGTGGCCTGTCCAGTGGCAGAATAGGCTGTATCCAGTGCATGCTAAATTTTGCCCCTAAAGCCCTATACATGTGCTTGGATGAGCCACTTGCAGAATATTGTCTGTCAGGTGTGGGTGGGGGTTCCCCGATGCCTAATGGCAGTTCCGCAGTCTTTCCCCAACGCCAGGCTGCATGTTCTGAATTTAGCCCTGTAAAGACTGCACCAGTAGGTCTGAGTGGGGGAACTTAGTGGTCAGAACATCCCAGTGTCTTTTTTCCCCAGTTGCCACGGCCACCTGGCAACCAGTATATGCTCACTCCTGTCATAAGGTGAGGGTGAGGTTAAGCATTCCTTTAAAATCTCAGGATAACAGTTAGCCTTGCTTACGCCTGAGCATATTTGTATGTTGTAGTTCAAAGTTCCAAAACACTCAAGAACCAAAATCTCACCCTATTAAATTGTGCCTGTTCACATACAAATACTCAAGCATCTGTAGCTTGAGGCCTGAAGTTCAAAAGGGTATATGAGCTATGTTTAAAGCAGAATGGGGCATTTTGGGGCCATTAGACTTCATTGGAAGTGCCTGAAAATGAATGTTTTTCAAAGCTAAACAATCATCTTCTAGTACAAGCTTTCCATTGGCGAAAACAAAAATGCTCAAGCCTGAATATGTCTGAAAAAAACTATTATTATATTGGCAGATTAGCAAATTAGATAGACATAACATTTAATTAAAACCACACAAAGTGCTAAAGAAGTGTGTCAAAAGAATATATGGGTAATGTAATAGGAATAAAATATGTTAACTGTACACATGGCTAACATGTATGGTTTGAAAATGTAACAATGTTAGATGATAAAACAATGGAGAGGTCAGGATCATTTGGGCACAACAAAGAGATAATTACAATCAAGCCATAAACTTGCAATCTTGTTTTTATTATTCTATAATTAATATATTGTATAATGTATATACTGTATATACCGCAAGCAATGTTTGTGGAAATTACAGACAACCCAGTTTTTGCTTTACTTACTTTTCACTTCTGCTATCTGTGTATTACTTACTCCTGACATCTGCAATCTGTGTGTTATGCACTCCTAACTTCTGCACTCTGTCCGTTACTTACTCTTGGCCCTGGTTCTATTTGCTTTACGCACTCCTGACCACTACACTTTGTGTGTTATGCACTCTTGACCCAGAGCAGAGTAGCGTCCGATTTTATTTAATCATATCTCTTTAAGCTCCTCCCACTGTTTTCAATTTGGCCACACCCACTATTCAGTGCAGCACACTCAAAGGGCTCACCCCCAACTCCACCCCCTGGCCCACCACCATTGATGAGCACAATTTATGAAAACAGGCTGCCACAGGGTATGCAAATGAAAAACATTTGGGAACCACTGTAATGAAGAATCAAATTAATAGTAGGCAGTATATTCAAAGCATTATTATGATTAGCTAATCAACATGCATTCATTTCCTATGAGCATCGGCTCCACCTAGTGGCTATGATGGGCTATGTTCTCCATTCACTTTGTTCTGTATGACTTTACCTACTGAAAAACATTCAATCAGTGGGTCAAGATCTCAAATAGGAGTCTTGCAATTTTTAGGGTGTAGAATTATTTAGATACAACTATTAATCATTTATACTGTATAGGGAGATATGTTTTCTGGGACAATGTCAAACTAATATCCTGGAACTGCAGAATAAAACCTCCTCTATTGAGGAGATACAATGTTACAATTCAAGAGCCCACTGGAGGGAATCAGAATATTAATGTAACCACTGATACTATGGGGATAACCATAGATATGTTTTTGCATTTGGAATTGTATCTTGTTACTAACGTATTTATTTCCTATGATCCTCAGCTCCATTTATCAGGCCCTAATGTGGTATTTTTTCATTAAATCTGTTACATATGAATGAACCTATTGAAGAACATTCAACCAGAAGAGAAATTACAATAAAAACTTTTATTCCCATTCTCACAACAGCTGGATAACTTGCACAGTATAAATGTACCTGCAGTTAACTGGGACAAATAATTTCTGAGAATTTTTTTAAAACAAAGTCCATATGGTTTGTTGCACACAAGCAACAATCTGCTACAAAACCATTTCTTGATGTCACAATTTCATCTCCCCCCATGTTCAACATGCAATAAGCTCAATTCAAAAAGTTTTACCACAATGATAAGGATCTCTATTTTAACCATGTGACTGTAATTTTCAAATCTCATTGGACTCAACCATCTACCACTAGTGTACTTTGAAATGATCCTGCAGGCTTGCTAAAACATCTAAACTAAGAAAACGCTAGCACGTAGTTAAAACTACAGGCTACTGGCAGTTACCTTTACTTCTAACCTCTATGTTCCCATCCCTGTTGACTTTCTCAAAGTCACTTTTTGCATAAGTCAGTGAGACAGAGCCAGGGGTATGCCTATCCTCCACACCCGGAATTTAGGGTATTAATACCAGCTTTGAGGAGGTGCAAAGCCCGATAGTAAGGGTACTTGCTTTCAGCTTATGCTTATACATTTCAATAAACTCATGGGTTTGCAACAAGGGGTTAAAAATTGTGCATTAGTAACACTGATTATTTTGACAGTGTAATTAACCATAAGCTTTTCCTCTAATACCACTATCCTAACTAATCACTGAGGATAATGGAAAAGCCTGAATCAGTGACTGTATTCCCTCTAAACCTACTGTGTGCTTTCCATATCTACAAGATTAGTGCTACAGAAAGTCTGACACACAGAATAATAGCTATGCAACAAAAACACTAAAAACAGAATTAACAGCCTCGTTATGGGCAGGTAAAAGGAAAGGATTTATAATGTACTAAAAAAAGGATGACTAGTAAAACAACTGCAACCGAGAAGCAGGCTAGAGAGGCCTGTAATTCATCCACTGTAGTTTTATGAAAAGTGTCACCAGCACAACCAGCATGTCTGTGTGATTTGCAGTATGGTAATCCAAGTTCCCATTATCTTTAGAAATATGCAGGCATTCACCAATATCAGTATCAGGTATCAATGACTGGAATTACAGCTCATGATGACACAGAGAACCAGAATATAAATCTCTGGTGCACACAGACTATGTTATCTAGGATACACAGACAGCAGATGTGAAAAACATGTGACAATACCTTAACACACTAATTACCATACACTGAGAAACACTACTTTCTATGAAGGCACTGCCCTAAGACCTGTGCTGCTTAGCACCACATGAGATGGAAACATTTTCAAAATATGTGTGCTAAGATAAAGGGGGTTTTCAAGACAAATGGCAATGGACTGTTTGCTGTATGAATAACACAGGGAACACCTACTTTCTATGATCCTTTGTAAACAACAGTGGGATGGAAGTCCAATCATACAATAAATTAGCTTCATATTTAATGCTTGAGTCACCATAAACAGATTGTTTAATAATGGAAATCAATACTCTGCGTTTGAAGAGACCCGGACGCCAGACCGTTTATTTCAACAAAAATCCTCCTATAATATTATTTTCTTTTTTTACATTTTCATGCATGTATCTACCTGTAAAAGCCTCCATTGTGTGGACATCCAAAAGCCCTGAGACTGTTGCTGGGTGCCACAATCTTGCATTTGATGTCAGCAGCCCCAGCAGATTTAGAGCCGACACTCAAGTGATACTCAATAGTATTCCCCTTTGCATTACCCCAGCTGTTACATAAAATGTTATGTAGGGAGGTAAAAGGAGGGGCAGAAGAGCTGTGCCAGCAGATTATTTTTCTTGTGACTTCTTAAAAGCACAACTTGGCCACCACCAAGAAACACAGTGAATAACTCACCATATAATATGACCTCAAATCATGAGAGGTCAATATGCACAAAGGGTAAGTGAAGTATCCGATCTCACAATGTCACCCTCGTGGCTGTAGGAAAAGCAAGGTAACCACCATCAGATGATAAAAGTAGTCACTCACCAAAATGTAGGACCCCCAACAGTACAGAGGTCAATATGTACATTAGTCAGAATATATGTATTTTAATAGGCCAAAACCAAAGTTATCATGGATTTAGGAGAACCATAATATCTCATCACACAGCATCAGCATATGCAGAGGCATTCCCCCGAAAATACAAAGCTGAGAAGACTCCAATGGTGCAGAATCTCTCTATTTTTATTCCAGCAAAAAATAAAACGACCAAAAACAATTTAATATCGCCTGGCGTTTTGTCCAATGGGATGCTCTTATGGGCTAACAGTGCTGATGTTACAGATGAGTTAAATAAAACAGTATGCAGAATAGTCCCGCCCATCATAGTACTACTAACCCGACCAGTGTGCCTACACAGATAATAGAATCATAGAAACATATTTTAACTACCTTCCGTCCATGGCCGTTTGTGAACGGCCGGACAGACGTCTGCATGATACAAAAACATGTATTGGTCTGGTGATATACACGTCTGACACAAAGTACCATCTATACAAGGTACTTAGTGTCAAAAGCGCTGCAAGCAATTAGCACATTTAAACACCACCAAGTAATGTGTGTAGGTGTGCCACACAATGCACA